TTGAGAAGTTCATTTTTCTATCTGAAATTACCAACTGTTTAGTGTTCACATTTAATTTTATATGCATTGAATTTTTTGGTACAACGTGAATCATGCATGATAGTCGCTCTCACCAATTAATTATTGTCCATGTAAGACAACTAACTGCATGATGCATGACGAGGCAACCACTTAAATATATATTTATTGATTGACGAAGACAGTTCATCTTTTATCTCACACTAGGTAAAAGACTTGGCCCAAGTCTTCCTTGATCATTCAATTTCTTTTTCTATTTTCTATTTTTTTTTTTTTTCATTTTGAAAAAATTTTAGCGCATGTCTCTTACCCACTTTACCATTTTAATTATAGCTCACTTCTGTTTATTATCTATTGGGTATGACCAGATAATCAGAAAATGTAGCACCGCTTAACATTTACACTTAACAAACTTAAGCCAAATATATGTATATATTACGTACATTCCTATATTTCAGAAAAATGTTTAGATATATAATTTTTTTACTATTTTTTTCAAATAATTATAATTATAAATGATTTTTAACGTGACAAATTTTGGTAATTTTAAGACTTATCTAATTGCAAAGTTGATTGCAAAAATTGCACATACAAGTAATTTAATTGTAAGATGAGATACTATAGTTAATGCATATAATATACATTCACCTCATTTTATTTAAACTTAATATACATTCACCTTGTTTTATTTAAACTTCAAAATCTGTATTATTAGATTGCTCACAAGTACTTTCTAATCAATGATTTTAATAAATGAAAATAAAAAACTTAATTTACATACCATAATCCTAATTTCCTTTACATCTTCTTTCACTAATTATATATGCACTATTAATTAAACATCAAACTCCATGTCAAGATGCATGCTAATAATATAAATTTGAAAATCAATAATGAGGCATAAGTTACCAATTGATAATTTCCAAGAGCTCCGGAACACAAGAATTCTTTTCAACATAATAAAACAAGAACAAGTGTTATATTGAAGTATTATTTCAAATTTAAGGATAATTACAATCACAAGGATAAATTTTTTTTTCTATAAATTATATGCAAGAATTTAACAATGCAAATAAAATTATAATTTTTTTATTTGTATATCAAAAGAATCTAAATAATAACATATGTGTATTGTATAAGTTTATTGTTGATACATTAAGAAGTATTAATTTAATAACTCGATATAAAAACTTGAATAATACAATTTAAATGTTTTATTAATGAATAATCTTAATAATAAACAAGATAAGTACTAAATAAAAATGAAAGACATTACATATATATATTTTTCAAATGGAAAATAAGAGAGGCACCGGGAGTAGTACACTGAATTTGTACACCGAATGACGTGACAAAATCTTGCCCGTCGATTAATTATAACTTAATATTAATCTATGGTTAGGATTATATCATGTTATTCGATACATAAATTCGATGCATTATTCCTGATGACTGTAATATTATTCTTTTCAAATACCGTAAGTTAGAAATTATTATGATACATAGGTATGATGTAATATATTGTATAGCATCATTCATGTAGAAATTAAATATTCTCATTTGGTGAAAGAGATTAGGTTGATGGCTCCACTTATCCATAAAATTGGTTCATGTGATTCATGCTAATAGCCCCACACCTCCACTCCCCAGTCCACACTTATCAATAGCTATTGACTACCAGGTCTTTCTTTATAAATTTTCCTCTTTTGTTAGTTGTTTTGTCTATATCTACAACAGTTAATCTCTTGTGATTTATTTCTATTTGGTCAACCAAATCATTGTAGTCTAGCATTACCACTTCAATATCTTTAAAGTTTCTTTTCTTAGTTACATTAGTGATAATTAAATAATAATTGTGCGTAATTTCTCACGTGCATATCTTCGTATAAATTAATTAATGATAATACCATTCATCGCAAAAATAATTTCAAAATTTTCTTGAGTCTGAAGTGGTGTATAATCTCATATGGTGTTGAGATTTAAAAGAAGTGGTAAATTAGTGACTACCGTGACATGACATTGTCAAATAAAATGACACATAATTTGGGATGTGAATTTTGTAATATGTTTTGAAATGTAATTTTATTTTGAAAATTAATTAATTACTTCTTGAAATGCAATTTCTTTTATCTTTTTTACTTATCAATCATTTATACTATAAGGAAAAATATTTTTTTTTGGGTTGTCTCCACGTGCCTCTTAAAACACATGTTAAGACGTTAGAAGATAGAATATTTAATATTATGATATGTTAAAAATTGTGTTTTTTTATTTCTTATACATAATATGCATCAGAATAGATAATTTTTTTTTTTATCTTTTAGAAATGTACGTTAAGACAGCCTTCTCTCTTTTCCAAACCAACACTAAACGATTTTGCCATGTTGCGTTATATTCTAGGTTGTTTGTGTCGTAAGAAACATATAAGCCATGCGTTTCAAACGGAGGGGGTGGAGGCATGCCACTGTAATAAAAAATTTAAGATAATTGTTAAAGGTTATAGCATTATTGATGTGGAAAATTAATTAAAAATCACATGTTTTTCTTGTTTTGATCGATGGCTCCACTTACTGATTTGAGCAGGTGTACGTGTTTGGATTTTTCTTGCTAATTAGCCCCACTCTCACCAATATCATGCTTTTATTTTAAAGACATATGTACTATAATGAATGGTTCTCGGTTTTTGAGGCCTCTCTTTAAGAGTATATTAAGTATCATATATGACTTTTTCTTGCTAATCAGCCCTGCACTTTCAATATCATCTAATAAAATATATATTTTATTTTGAAAATGAAGAAAATTGAAAGTGGAGTACCTATAATATAAATTCAACTTTTGCTAATCTTGTAGATCTAGAGAAGAGGAACAATAATCACCAAATGTAGCACAGAAGAGAAGAAGAACAATAGTCACCAAATGTAGTTGGAAATTTTCTCAATTGAGATTTGAGAGTAATTTTTTTTTTTAATTTAACACTTATCTTTTTAAAAACTTTAACAAAAATTGTACATGCAATTATAAGATGGGAACCCATATTGCATATAATATAATGTTTAATTTAATAATTGATATTACTGTTGATCTTAATGATTGCAAGACATAAATAGTCTTTCTAAATTGGCCCCACTTCTTTTTCATTGTAATAATAGTCTTTCTAAATATCATCTCTTTGTGGGAAATCCCAAACCCCTGAGATATACCCTAAATATGAACCCCCGTTGTTTTTGAATAAAACTGACAACACCCTATTATTAGTCAAACGTTCACACCTTTCACATCAGGGATAAAAGTTAACTTTATATGAATAACAATTAAAAAAAAAAAATAAAGATTAAAACTACAATAATACTACATATACATTATTTTCATACAACATTTTTTATACAATATTATATGATAAAATATGATTGACTAATTTAAAGTTAAAATTAAACTTTCATCCAATCATATTTTACCATATAATATTATATAAGAAATGTTTTATGAGAATGATGTATGTGTAGTATTATTCTAAAACTAATTCAAATTACAAAATCATAACATATTAAAAAAAAAAAAAAAAATGAAAAGCCTAAAAACATTATTTTCCTCAAAAGTCGGCACCTTCTTTCATCTTTTCTCTTTATGCTGCCACTCTCCTCTTTCTCCTTAGGCCGCCGCCACCACCTCCTCTACTCAAGTCGCCTCCTCCCATCTTCTCAAACTGCCCCTTCCCATCATCCTGTCACGCCACCATCTGTCGCGTTGCCCTCCTGAAGGCTACTTTGTCATAAGTGATTTTTATTTGATTATTTATTATATAAATTTAAAATGGTTTATATTTATTATTTTATTTTTGTTTTATTTTATTTTATGCAAATCAGGGGTAAATATGAAATTTAAGTTGTGTATGATGTCAGATGACAGATTTTAAGTAACTCTGATTAACGGCGGTAAGGGGTCGTGAGTCATATGTCACTCATATCTAAAACTACAAGGTTATCGAATAACTCAGATGGTGTTGAGTAATTTTAACGGTATCAGATTCTTTCAAATCAAAAATCGAGAACCATAATGATGTCTATAAAATAGAAGCAGCCGTATGATTTCATTTGGCGGTTTTCCATGTGAAAGAGATAAGGCTGATGGCCCACTAATCCATAAAATGTGGAACTAAGTTTATGTGACCCATTTCATGCTTATGGACCACACTTACCAGTTATCAATATCATCTGCCTAAAGGTTGCATTATTGTTGTAGAAAATTAATTAAAAATCTTTTAAAAATTATTGATCACCTGTCGTTTTTCTTGTTTTGATCAATGGCTCCCACTTATTGATTTGAGGAGGTGTACGTGTTTTGATTTTTCTTGCTAATTGACCACACAGTTTTCTATTTTATAGACATCTGTACCATAATGAATGGTTCTCGGTTTTTGAGGCATTTCTTCAAGAGTAATTAATTATTAAGTATCATACATATGACTTTTCTTGTTAATCAGCCCCACACTTTAAATATCATCTAATATTTTGAAAATGATGCGAATTGAAGATGGAGTACCTATAGATTAAATTGAACTTTTTATAATCTTGTAAATCTAGAGAAGAGAAGAGGAACAATAATCACCAAATGTAGCACAGAAGAGAATAATAGACTTAACTATAGCTATATATATATATAGCACAGAAGAGAAGAGGAACAATAGTCACCAAATGTAACTTAATAAATTATAAAGTTAACTTATCTTGGATAATAATATTTATAATTTTTTTCACTTGCCCCATTGAGACAAAATCCTTGCTCCGTCGCTGAACCCAATCCACAACCAAATGTATGGTTCTCAAGAATTTTTTGCAACTAAAAACCATATATACTTCGACTACCAAACATCATTCCAATTCAATATTTAACACATAACAAAACCTAACTCTTTCACTTACAAAAATTTACAAATACCACATTTACAAATAAACGATGGGACTAAATGTCCACTGAGAAACACTATGGCCTTGAAGCAATGTCATTATCCATGGGATATTGACGGTAAGGCGTCACATATATCTAAAACTAGAGAGGTACTGTTGGTTTTTAACTGTACTAGATTCTTTCCAATTAAACACTAAGGCTAGGAAAAAAAAGTGAAAACTATGGATGACACAAATGGTGGATTGGATCCTATCCAATTCAATCTAATCCACATGAATTTCTATCTAATCTAATTCAATGCAATTTTAAAATATAAGGATGAATTGGATTGGATTATATTTTTGTGGATAATGGATTGGATTATGGATTATTTCATCCACAATTTTTAATATGTATGTTTAATCTAATTCTTGTATTTTTAATCAAGTTTTCACGTTTGAACCCCCATCCTCCCCACAACAAAACCAAATGTATTATCATTTGGTGGTTTTCTATGTGAAAGAGATAAGATTGATGGCCCCACTTATCCATAAAATGTGGAAATAAGTTCATGTGATCCATTTCATGCTTATAGACCACACATATCAATATCATCTGCGTGCAGGCTGCATTACTGTTGTAGAAAATTAATTAAAAATCTTTTAAAAATTATTGATCACCTGTCGTTTTTCTTCTTTTGATGAATGGCTCCCACTTATTGATTTGAGGAGGTGTACGTGTTTGGATTTTTCTTGCTAATTCGCCCCACACTTCTCAAGAATATCATGTGGCTGCTTCTATTTTATAGACATCTGTACCATAATGAATGGTTCTCGGTTTGTGAGGCCTTTCTTCAAGAATATATTATCATATATGACTTTTTCTTGTTAATCAGCCCCGCACTTTAAGTATCATCTAATATTTTGAAATATAACTTAATTCACCGATAGTTACATTATAGATGATTATTAATGTTATAAATTTTAGTAAAAGGACACATTGACATATGATGGGTCAGCACTCCTTTGTATTAACTTACTTATAAACAGTTGTTGACTATTTCATATCGTATTAATTATTGACTTGTTAGAAGTATGTAAAAATCTTACTGCTTTGCTTGAGGAAGGATGTTGAGAATTCAAATTACAAGTTAGAAAGTTAGAAGTGTTGGGTTTTGAAATTGATGATTTAAGAGTTGCTTAAAATTACCTAACTAAAATGAAGAAAACGAAGTTACTGGTTGAAGAAAAGGGGATGTCTTGAAGAGTTGACGGAACTTCAAAACCTGTTAAAGTCTATTAGTTTTTAAATAAAAGCGACAACGTTTTAATGTATTCTTGTTAATATTTTGTTCTTCCTCTCTTTTTGTTCTTCCTTAAGCAACAGAAAACACAGTTCCTACGGTCTACCTTTCGTTATTTTTTGTTAGAGTAAACTACCTTTTCCTACCCAAGGTTTGCCTTACTGACACTTTCCTACCCAAAAAGTTTCAAAATACCACTTTACCACCTAAAGTTTATATTCCATTAGTACCTAAAGCTGATTTCGGCCGATTTTGGCAACGAAAATTCTCTCTATCACTACCATTTGAACCTCCACTCTACAAAACCCCTCTTATTCTAGCTCCTAGTAACTCGTTGAACGTCGGCTAAGAAAGTGAAGTGTAGTTTGGGTATTAACGAAATATAAACTTTGGGTAGTAAAGTGGTATTTTAAAACTTTTTGAGTGGAAAAGTGTCATTAAGGCAAAGCTTGGGTGGGAAAAAGTCGTTTACTCTTTGTGTTATTCCAAGTAATATTACATTTACAAAGACTTTATATAAAGTCATCCATACAAGGCGATATTACACTACTCATGCATTGTCATGTTATTCACTATCATTAATTAATGTGTATTTATAAAATTGATTTGTTATATTAATTTTTTTCAATCATAATCTGACACGTCATTTTGTAGAAAAGATTTTGTATAAAGTCTTTGTAAATGTACTATTATTCATGATTGAATGGCTGAGATATTTTTTTGTAATGAATCACTTGGATTGCCACATCAAATCAGTTTTTAGCTATATAATATGCATACTATGAAAACATTTGAGAAGTTCATTTCTCTATATGAAATTACTGATTGTTTAGTCTTCACAATGCAGAAGACTTTGTCTTTCATTTTATATGCATTGATTTTTTTGCTCTTCAGTATTTGCTAGTTGCTACAACGTGAATCATGCATGATATTAGAGTACATATTTATAAGGGGCTAACTGTATGATGCATGTAAAAGAAAGACTACCAGCTGTATGACGCATAACAAGGCAACCAATTCTCTCTATATATATATATATATATATAGAGAGAAGTGGTTGCCTTGTTATGCGATATATATATATATACACGCATAACAAGGCAACCACTTCTATATATATATATATCGCATAACAAGGCAACCACTTCTCTATATATATATTGACAAATACAGTTTATCTTTTAGCTCCTTCACTTAAGGCATGGACAGTGGACACTGGGTAAAATACTTAGCCCAAGACTTCCTTGTTCATTCACTTCCTTTTTCTATATTTTTTCTTTTTAAAAATATTTGATTGCCTGTCTCTTACCCCTTCACCAATTTAATTATAACTCTCTTCAGTTTATTATATATAGAATATGACCAAATGAACCTCCAGACTTACAAATGTAGCACCGTTTAACATTCACAAATAATAGGAAAATTATTTGGGCACTTACCACTTAGAGAAATAACACTTAACAAACTTAAGCCAAATATACGTATACCAATAATGTTTTACTTACAACTAAATCATATAAACAGATAAAAATTGTACAAAATTTATGTGAAATGATTATTATATCATTTATTTTTTATCTGTTTATATAACTTAGTTGTAAAACTCAATTATAAATATAACATTGTTCTATGTACATATTACGTATATTCCTCTATTTCAGAAAAACGTTAATATATATTTTGTTTTATTATCTTTTTTTTAAATAATTATAATTATAAATGATTTTTAATGTGACAAATTTTGGTAAAATGATTTACAGGAAACATGACAGGTAATCTCATTTAAGATTTTACAGAAGCATTTATTTCTAAGGTCTATTAACTTTCTTTCAGATGTTTAGGCAACACATGGGAGATGGGACACAAGGGTTGACTCGTTGGATGTCACGTGTTAAATAAGAAAATTATCATGAGCGGACGGGGAAGCACCTTAACAAGTATATATATACTATATACAGTGAAATACCATAAGTTTAAGTGGCATTTCTCTACCGTTAAAATATATATTTGAGAGGAGATACCATAAGCTCTGGTGCTATCGACTACTCATTGATTTCCGGCCAAAATATTCAGGTTCAAATATGCACCTGTTTCATTATTTTAATTATGTATTCGTATTCTTTCTTTTTATCATTTTGGTCCAGAAAAAAATATTCCTATTTATTCTGTTGTTTAGTTAAAAAAAAATTAATAAACCGTGCATAACTATCAATTTATATGCTTACAAAGAAACGAAAAAAAAATTGTTCTATATTTCTATAATTTCTAGCTCTGAAAATAGTTTAAGAGTTAAGTTGTCATTTCACCAAAAGCATTTTAAGGTATTACAGGATCTAGATATTAAATTGAATTTTGTTGTTAAGTTGTCATAAACTAGTAAGTAGTAACTCAGTATTATATCAGTCTCCTTTTATTTATTTATTTATTTATTTTTTTTGGTTTTAGAATTATTTAAGGATTATAAACAAAAGAAGCCCTTAATTAGCTTGGCATATAAGTGATGTGGATATAAGAGATTTTGTAGTATCTTATATGAATAAATATTTGTAGTATATGAGAGAATAATGCGTGCATATAAATTAGGAACTCGAGGCAATTTTAAGTAAATAACCTCATACACGAAAATGATTTCTTTTTGAGTTTGCATTTGTCTATTTATTTTTAGAGATTATTTTGTCTGCACTTTGGTAATAGGAATGAACGTGGAGATGAGTGCTTCCTTGGAACACGAGGGTTTGGCCGAGTTGCGAATTGACATCGACAAAAACTTGAGGAGTCTGAGCTTGATCCTAGTAAGTGTTGTATTTATAGGGTTCCTGAACCGATTCGTAGAGTAAATAAAGGAGCCTACACTCCTCAATTAATTTCAATAGGTCCTCTTCACCATGAAAACAAAAAATTGGCTAATATGGAAAAGGAAAAAAGAAGATATATGAATAGTTTTCTTGAACGTATAACGCCCAAGAAACAAGGTGAAATTTTTAACTTCATCAAGGATAATGAAAATGACATTCGTAAGTGTTATGCAGAGACATCTAAACTCAAGGGTCCTAAGTACATAATGATGATTCTATATGATGCTATCTTCATTATAGAATTATTCTTAAGGAATAAACGCCATGAAGGAACAGGTGATTCATTACTATCTATAGCAACAGTAAGATATAATCTGGGCTCAGACTTGCAGTTACTTGAGAATCAACTTCCATATTTTGTCCTTGATAAAATATTCAAGTTAGCTTCTGTTTACACATGCATGCCTACCTTGATGGAGCTTTCTTTTGAGTTCTACCGTTATAATGCCAGTTTGGCATTGAATATTCCAACTTCCCAATTGCAAGTTAAACATTTCACAGATTGGAAAAGAAACACTCTATTGGAAAATTACCCAATATCAGGTCAAGTCAACAAACGTCTTACAAATTTACCATCTGCAACGAAGCTGCATGAGTCGGGAGTGAAGTTTAAGAAAATTGATCAAAGAGGAGACAAGTTAATAAGATTTAAGAAGCAATTATATGAGTTGCAACTACCATATTTCAAAATAGTCGATGGGACTGAATGTGTAATTAGAAACGTTATGGCTTTGGAGCAATGTTGTTACCCAAAGGATACTCGTTTTTGCAATTATATAAAGCTAATGGATTTCCTAATCGATACTGAGAAAGATGTGGATTTGCTGGCTGAGCGTGGAATTATTTCCTGTTATGCGAGGGACTATTCTTCCACAGCAAATATGTTTAATAAACTCTGTCGATGTATCGGTTTAAGTGAAACCTCTTACTATGAAACGTGCGAGGAACTCAAAAAACACTGTAACAGTAATTGGAACAAAGCGATCGCAACTTTAAGAAGAGTTTATTTCAGCAATCCATGGAGAGGCACAGGAACTGTTGCGGCAGTTATACTTCTACTACTCACTATCATACAAACCATATGTTCTATCTTTCAAGTCGTGTGATTTTCATTTTACTTGTAGTAGACCTGCTGTTTACTTGTAGTGTAATTTTCATTGAGTTGCTTCAGTTTGAATAATAATCATATCCCTGCTATATGTTTCTCATCGACTCAGTGTAACATGTTCAGTTATTTATTCTATTTTTTATTTAAGTCCATGAGAAAACCCATTATCTTTAATTCTTTGGCGGTTTATTAATAGGAATGTATAAGCAAATCCAGCCAGGCATTGTTTTATATAATTTTAATCACTTTAAAATATGAGTATTTTTGTCATTTCAATATAATTTTATAGTTAACTCACATTTCTTAAAGGCAAAAGACTAAAATAGTAGTAATTTGAGACAAGAAGGACAAAACAAATATTTGAAATGACTGGACTAAAATAGTACTAACTCATAGGGGTGTGAAAAAAAAATTGAAAACCAAATTGAAGTTGAACAGAAAAATCAATTTTTTAAAAAACCAGTATGGTTTTAATTCATAAAAGAGTAATGTTATGGGTATTAACGGATTTTATTAATCAGGGTATTAACTTAAAACAATACGGGTATTATACATATAATACGAGTACTATGTGTGATTTTAACAAAAGTTAGTACACTGATTAGTAAAATCCGTTAGTACCCAAAGTATTATTCTTCGTAAATTGGCTAAACCCGTTTTCCAATTCGGTTATCTATTCAACCAATTTTGGAAACCAGTTTTTAAAACCGGTTTTTAATTAATATATTATATATGATGTGTGGCTATGTTGTGGATGTACAATCCAAGACAAACTTGCGTCACACCAAATCAAATCCTTCCTTTGCAAGATGTGCGGCTGAGATCTTCCCTCTTCCCTCGAAACTTCCCTAGGTTTATATTTAAAGCCGCCAGGGTTTTCAAGCTCTCTTTAGCCTCCAGCCTTTGTTTAGGTACTTTCCTTCCATTTCTCTGTGTCGTGTGTGTTTAGTCATGGCTTTGAGTTTGTTTTACGTTATGTTAAGATAATCTGCTTAGAGCCTCTAACATTTACCTTTAATTTATATATTCTCCCTTTTTTTTTATTGTATGTCTGTTGAGTTTGTGTTGTGTTTAAACTTTAATGAAAAGGTGAGTATCGAAGGGAATGACATAGGATTTTAGCCTTTTTAACAGATTCTTCTCTTACGTAAACTTCAGTTTATGAACTATTTCACCTTCCGAGCAAACTTGTTTGGTCTCTTAGCAGGTGGCGTCAATCGGTGCCTACACTTTTTTATTTTGGTTTTCAAGATTGTATCTCTGTAATGTTTAAATTCAGATTTGGGTCTTTTTGTTTTTTGATACCAGAATATGAATGACAAAGAACTGAGACCAACCATAAACACTACATGAAACTTGAAGAAAGGATTTTGATTACTTGTGATTGAGTTTCAACTTGAAGAAGGGAAAAATTAGAAATTAATTTTTTTAATTAAAAAATCGGTTCAAAACCGGTTAACCGGTTTTTTGAACCGATTATTCGGTCCGGTTTAAAATCGGTTTAAACAATAATTCAGTCCCATTTTGGTTTAGATTTTGAGTAGTGGTATTAACGGATTTTATAGTGTATAATATGGGTCTTATATGCAAGGTACAGTATTATGTGTGATTTTAACAAAATTAGTAAATTGGTTAGTAAAATCGTTAGCACTAAAATATTATTCTTAGATCTTTGCTTGAACCGGTTTTTCGGTTCGGTTTGAAAAATGCTCAGACCGGCTTGGTTAACCGGTTTTTCACACCACTGCTAACTGAGACACGTAGGGATGAAAAATGAATTATCTCATGGAAAATTAAGCTTATGATATAACTAGGTTGGGCCAGGCTAGAGCTAGACCCAAGCTTTGACTGGCCCAGCCCAGGCTCAACTATATTATAGGGAGAGCGACATTTTCCCACCAAGGTTTGGTGAAACAACACTTTCCCACCCTTCAAGTTTCCAAATGACACTTTCGCACCCTTCATTAGAATTTGTTATGTTTTTCATTAATATTTTATTGAAAAGACAAAAATTCCCTTAAATATTTGACTTTATAAATTTTTTATTATTTTTTAATTAGTCAAAAAGTCAAATATTAAAAAGTAAAAAAATAAAAAATAGTTAACCTCACCTAAAACGTTTTAAGTAATGTTATGGAATTGTTTAAAATTAAATGACCTTTATACTTATTTATAATGTCATCAATATCTCATTACTATTATTCAATAATCTACTAAATTTATTAGGTTTTTCATAATATAATGTTTTTCATTTTTACTAATTAACATAGAAAATCAATATTCCTCTTTAATTAAATAAACAAAAGAAAAAATATATATTTACACTCGAACTAATAAATAATCGAGTGAAGACTTTGACTTAACTAGATTTTAATTTATAATAAACTAATTAAGAGGCAAACTATTTAAGGGTATTTTCATATTTTCAGTCAAATATTAATCGAAAACACTAACAGAACTTTACGAAGGGTGGGAAAGTGTCATTTTGAAACTTGACGGGTGGGAAAGTGTCGTTTCACCAAACCTTGGGTGGGAAAATGTTGTTCTCCCTATATTATATGAAGTTTCAGTATAAAAACACATCTTAACAGTAAGTAGGAAAATGAAGATAAAGATAAAAATTCTTAAAAAAATCTCATATCTCGACAATTCCTTGAGGACCAGAACTTCAAGTTTAATTGCTCAATCTTCTCTTCTTTTCTGTGATCTCCTTATCACAGTAAAGGAAAGAATTATCTAATATTTCCCTAAAAGTCTTTAACATCTGGAAAATTCAACACTAACATTTGGTGTTTGTCAAGGAAACATCGTGATCCATACTCCAATTAGGAGTGTATACGAGCTGAGTATCGCCTAACTTGGCTTGGCTTGTGATGAACAGTAGCCGAGCTCGAGTTTGAGTTGAGCTCAGTTGAGCATGAATACTCGTGTTCGAGCTCGAGCTCACGAGCCAAAAAAGGTACTCGAGCTCGCGTTTGAGCTGCTTTAAATGAGCTTGAGACTACTTGAACTCGACAGCTGCTCGAGTATCTACTTTCACTTGCTGCTACTCTACTATTAGTGGGGCTTGTCAAGCATTTTAATGAAAGGGTGAACCATGGCCCTAGTCAGCAATGGTAAACCAAGAAAAAAAAAATGAAAAAGAGAAGAAAGAATGAGGGAAGAGAAAATAAAAAAAGGAAGAGGAGAAAAAGAAGAAAAAAAAAGTGTTATGCCTAAAAAAATTAAGGCCGACATAAGCTAATGTCAACAAGCACCAATCAGAGTTTAGAAAGGTTTTGCGTCGTCCAAAGTCTGTCACATCGCCCAACATAGAAAGAATATAGCTGTCAACAACCCAGCTAACTCAAGTGTTGTTTGTGAATGAATTTGGTTTGCACAGCTGTCCAAGCCCCATTCAATTTAAGAATATTTCCTAAGTTATCAACCAATGAGACGACACGAAGGATTTGAACGATACTTACCCACTTGTAGACTTGTAATCATTACCTTGAACTTAGTAGGTATAAATAGGCAGCTGCCCCTCACAAAATCAAGATCACACACTCTGAATTCAACAAAGAAAATAGGAAAGACACCCTACGAAAAAGAGATTGGCTTGATATTATCTAAGAACACTTAGAACACAAAACACTTGTAATTCAAATCGCAATTGACGACCTCTCATAAACTTGGCTAATAACCAAGAACTCACTCATATAAAAAAAATAGTGGATATAGGATTTTCTTTAAGCTCGCAAACCACTATAAAACTCTCATTGTCTCATTTATTTTAAATCTTTGCGTAAAACTATGATAACAACATTCTCTAATCAACTCTTATAATTATTCACATGTAATTTTTAAGATCTTTCTTAGCTCTTTATACGTACGAGGTTGTTAGTGTCAAAATAAAGCATCAACAAAAAGGAAGAGAATGGAAGGAGGAGGAAATCTGGAGAAAGATGGAAAAAGAAAACATGAAGAAGAAGAGACGGGACGAAGAAGAGGGGGAAAAAAGAGAGAAGAGATAAGGGAGAAAATATATTTTTATTTATGTTTCATTTAATGTTTTGTACTTTCTCTTCTACTCCTCTCTTACCAGCCTGCCACAATTTTTCAAGCCTATAAAAAATTCAAAATGATTCTTTTATTTGCCTTTTTGGGGGTGTGTTTGTTATTTTTTAAAATTGATAAATTCTATATAACCCCTAATAGTTGTAAAAATATCAGATATCCCCAAGCTTACTGAAGCTATATGTGAGCTTGGCGAGCCGAGCATTGGTTGTTTGAACTTAGCTCGCCTGCTGAGCCGAGTCGTTCGAGCTCGAGATCGGCTCGGACAAATCTCAAGCCAAACCGAGCTTTTTTCGAGCTCGCTTGGCTACCACCCCTTTATTTTTCTGCAACTAAAATATCTTATGATAAAAACATCTTCAATAGATGTACAAATGTCAAAATTTAATATATACCTGCGCATCTTGAGAAGATGAGAAATCAGAATTACTAGTTAGTTTTTAAATGAAAGCGACAACAAGGGCTAGCCCAAGGCTAGTCAGGTGCGGCACCTGTGCAGGGCCCCAAAAAAATAGAAACAAAAAGGGCCTAAATTTTTTATAAGTATTCTTTTTTAATATATTACCAAAAAAAAAAAAAAAAAGTTTACAATTTCTTTCCTAGGCTGGCCTAAGGAGCCCCCCAAAAAAGCCAAAAAGACCCAAATTTATTATTAACTTTTACATTATTCCCACACAAAATTTGACGAAATATTAGTTTATACCTCTAGTTTAATATATTCCAATTTACACCCCTAAATTAACACATTGAATTCCTTTTAACAATTAAATGCTAAAATAGTCATTTACATGTCTCAAATTACTCACCCTCAATTCAATCTCACACGTTGAATTTCTTTTAACAATGAAAGGCTAAAGTTTTAAAGCAATAAAATTTCAAGCTCCACAAATAAGAGGCGTTTTATATCAATTAGCAGAAACTAGTGAAGATCTTAAAACAAAA